AGAAGACGCGTACGCGGAGCTCAACGACTAGTGCGAGCAGCACGAACAGGCGACGCAGGACGAGACGCAGGCTCACAACGCTCAGCAAGACCTCCAGTGGGACAAGTGTAGGGAGAAGGAGCAGGAAGAGGAGAGGTGGGCTGTAACTGTGACTACGACTGGATAGGCTGTGGACACTCTAAGAGAGGAGGAGGACCAGCAGAGGGCGGGAGACCAAGAACCTGCTCAAGGAGCAGAACAAAGTACAGCCGCGGCCGCGCAGCGCCTCCAGAACCAGCAGGGATAGTACCAGTACCGCCAGCGACAGCACTTGCGTCATCAGCACCTCCAGCTCCAACAGCGCCAACTCCAGCACCCTTAGAAGCACCAGTCCAGCAGAACCACCAGCGCCAGCAAAACCAGCTGCGCCAACACCCCCAGCAGCTTCAGCTCCAGTACCACCAGTAGCTCCAGCAGCACCAACTCTAGTAGGACCGGCAACTCGAGTGGGACCGACAGCTCCAGTTTTGTCAGCACCTCCAGCAGTACCTCCAGTAGGACTAACTCCAGTAGCCTCATCAGCACCCCTAGCCCCAGCAGCTCCAGTACCGCCAGTACGAGCACCTCCGGGACCAGCAGCAACTGTAGTACCTCCAGCTCCAGCAGCACGGCTCCAGCGTCGGGCAAACCACTCGCGCAGCTCCTGTGGAGAGAGCGGCTCACGACTCGACGAAGCACCGCTGGCGGCCACACGAGCAGACCGAGCACCCCCAGGCTCCACACCCCCAGGCTCCGCACCCCCAGACTCAGCACCCCCCGGCTCAGCACCCCCAGACGCAGCACCTCGAGTCTCAGTAACCCTAGACTCAGCACCCGCAGGCTTAGCACCTCCAACAGCACCAGAGTCAACAGCTACATCGACAAGCTCGACTGCGTCTACCTGGGACACACCTGACGGGGCGAGACCCTCAGGGGGGGAGGACCTGGTCCAAGGAAGAGCGGCGGCAGGGGGAGGGGCGCAGTGCGGTAGGGGAAGAGACGGTAGTAAGGTACCAACTCGTCAAAGGTGACGTCCTGGGAGGACAGAACACGTCGTGAGGTGGGGTGGTAAAATTGTCAACCAGGCGCGTCAGGGGGGAAGCCAAGGAAGACGCAAGGAACAGCATGGGGGGACAACTTGTCCGCAGACAAGTTGCGGACAAACGCCCAAGATCCCCAGACCCGAAATGCAGACGCATTGCCAACCTTCCCCGTCCACCGCAAGGCGGATGAGGTCTCTGGCAAGGAGACCCGGGGCTAAAGGTTGAGCTGATGCGCCGCGTACTGAATCGCAAACGACCACTGAAAATAGGGGGCAACCGCATGGATCATGGACGTACGAGCGACGTCCATGACCATGCCAATGCGGCGCTCAACAATCCCATTTTGCTAAGGAGAGGCCGAAAGCATGAAGGTCTGGTGGATGCGATGTGCACGACAGAAGGCTCCTAGACGGGCAGAGGAAAACTCCCCGCCTCTGTCAAGGTGCAGACATTGAAGAGGAAAGTCCGAGCCGAAACTCTCTCTGAGCTGGAGACGAGATGTGCGGATCCAGTCGATCAACACCTTAGTGACATCATCCTTGCTGTGCAAGGGGAAGACTGTGGTGTAACGCGAGTAGTCGTCAACCACCAACAGGAAGTAACGCTCGTGCCCCTGTCCACAGATGCGGGCGGGGCCCTACACGTCCATGTGGAGAGTCTGCAGTAGAGCCTCTGTCGTAGGAAACTCGGAGGAGTGAGGGGCGGCGCACTGTCGCCCCTCGACGTAGGGGACGCAGGTAGGGGCAGGCCCCAAAGGTAGGGGAGGGAGAGACCGGGGGAGACCAGAGACAAGGACACAGGAGGCCATGCCTCGGAGACGAGGCAGGGAGGGGTGACGAAGACGGTGGTGCCAAAGGAGAGTCTGGTGGGACAGCATACGACACGAGCAGGGAGCAGACTAAGGACCAAACCTGGACGCTGCAGCAAACACTTGACTCGATGCAGCTACCTGGCCAGACTCAGCAGCCGGAGGAGACTCAGTAGTAAGTATGTACAAGCTCGACCCCGGCCGACGGGTGAACGTGGCCAAGTGTCGGCCTGTCTGAGCACATGTGCAGTGGGTCACCCGCTGACTCGCAGGAGTGAACTGGTCGACCCCCCTATCGTGCAGGTCAGCTCCACTCACCAAGTTCATAGAGAACGAGGGGAGGTAGAGGCCTGACAGGGTGCCAGAGGGGGCTGCCGGGCACGGTAAGACAGTGGAGAAGCTAGCAAGGACAGGACCCCCAGAGGGGTCTGCTAGGGAGACTGCAAGCGACCGACTAAGCGGCGTAAGCGTGGTGCGGTCTCGAACAAAGGAGCGGGAAGCACCCGAGTCAAGGGTGAAGGTGTGTAAGGCCTGAGCCGACGTAGTACCTGATAGAGCGGACTCACCAGCACCTGGGGCAGCAGACGCACTAGCACCTGGGGTAGCAGACGCACTAGCACCTAGAGCAGCAGCCTCACCAGCACCTAGAGCAGCAGCCTCTATGCCCGGGTCAGGCGGAACACACAGATAACAGTCACCCTCAACACTAACAGTCACAGCATACATGGCAGTAAGAATACCATCATAGTCAAGATCAAAGATGGCAACCCCCGCCCTAGACAGATCTCCCCATCGAGGGATCTCTGACGCCTCAGGGAACTGGTGACGCCACGCGTCCGTCAGGCGGCCGAAGCAGCGTTGGGTGGAGTGCGGGCCCCTGCACTGCTCACCAACGCGGTCGCCGGTACGGAGAACGTAACTGCAGGGATCAGTACCCCCACCGCGGTGACGCGCAGCGTACCACTCACGAAGCTGCTGAGGGGACAGGGTCTCACGACTGCGCTGCTGCTGCTGGCGTGGACCACTACCGGACCCACTCCTCTGCGCAGAGTCGCGACCAGCTCCACCGCCGCAGCCGCCGTCTCCGCCGCCTCCGCCACCTCCGCCGCCTCCGCCACCTCCGCTCCCTCCGCCACCACCGCCGCCTCCTCCGCCTCCACTGCCGCCACCGCCGCCGCCACCCCCACCACCACTTCCACCACCACCCCCATCCCCTCCACTGCCGCCACCACCACCTCCACCGCCCCCGCTAGCCCCTCCAGCTCCCTTGCCCTCCTTGCCCTTGCCGGTGCGGCGTCGCCCGCTATGGGCAGACGCAGCGCCGACCCCGTAGAAACCAACGAGGTCGGCAGCAGCAGCAGAAGCAACAGAGGGCAAGAGGGGGGAGGGGGAACACCCCTCAAAGACGGGGGTGCAAGGGTCACCACGAGAGGCTCCTACAGCTACTATGCTCTTCTCTGCTGCTAGGAGGCGCTCCTCGAGTAGGTCAACGGTGAGTGTGGTGGGGAAAACTGATAGGAAGTGGTCCCTGACTAAGCGAAGAGAGTCAGGGAGCCGGGTGACTATGTAGTAGAGGGTGATGTACATTGGGGGGGGGTTCTTGGCGCAGAAATCAGGAGGAAGCGCAGCGCGGTAGCGAGTGTCACTAGTGCGGAGGTGCGTATGAGGTCAGCGACTGTGGGAAAGGCAGCAAGGTCAGGGAAGAAGTACGGTAGCATGAGGCGGCTCAGTGCACTAGTGGTAGGGGAAGTGTAGCGTGCAACTACAGCGTCGTACAAGGTTTGGGCACTCTTGTACTGGCTAAAGTGTGCACGCTCAGTGGTCGGTAAGTGGCGACGCACAGCAAGACGGGTAGCAGCATCGCGTGTCGCCCAATGTGAGCGAATAGTGCTGTCAGCAGTAGCACGCGGGGCATGGGAGGCACCAGAGGTGAGGTCAAACAGAGAGAGGCCGTTTGCCCTATCGCACTGGAGGAACAGCTGGAGGTCATCGACCCAGACCTCAAAGTCAACAGCACGACCCTCAGTATCAAAGTTACGAACACTGGGGGTAGCCATGACTGTAGAGGTGTAGCAAGGAGTGAGCTCACCTGTCCGAGTTAGTAGGGCCGGGGCGCGTCGGTAGGACTAGTAGCGGCTCGACGGCACGGCGGCTTGGCGGCTCAGTGGCTCGACTGCTGGGCAGCTCGGCTGTCGGGCGGCTCGGGTGCTCGGCTGCTGGGTGGCTCGGCTGTCGGACGGCTCGGTGGCTCGGCTATTGGGCGGCTCGGCTGTCGGGCGGCTCGGTGGCTAGGCGGCTCGGCGGCTCTGTTGTTGGGCGGCTTGGCGGCTGTGCTGCTGGGCTGCTCGGTAGAGGCGGCATTGGGGCCGCTCAAGGAGGGGAGCGGCGACGGGGCCGCTAGGGGCGGCGACAGTGCCGCGTAGAGGCGGCGTCGGGGCCGCTTAGGGGCGGCGACAGGGCCGCTTAGGAGCGGCAGCGGGGCCGCTTAGGGGCGGCGATGGGGCCGCGTAGGGTGAGAGGCGGCGACGGGGCCGCGTAGGGGCGGTGATGGGGCCGCGTAGGGGCGGCGACGGGGCCGCGTAGGGGCGGCGACGGGGCCGCCTAGGGTGAGAGGCGGCGTCGGGGCCGATAGGGGCGGCGACGGGGCCGCTAGGGGCGGCAAAAGGGCCGCATATGGGCGGCGACGGGGCCGCGTAGGGTAAGAGGCGGCGACGGGGCCGTTAGGGGTGGTGAGGGAGCCACTAGGGGCGGCGACGGGGCGGCGTAGGGTGAGAGGCGGCGACGGGGCCGCTAGGGGCGGCGACGGGGCCGCTAGGGGCGGCGACGGGGCCGCTAGGGGCGGCAACGGGGCCGCGTAGGGGGGGCGGCACCTATATATTCACCCTTGCTAGTTTTTCTGCTTTTGTGGAGAGTCCACCGGGTCCTATAGCCGGAATAATACGGTACAGTACCTCCAATTGATCTAACAAAGTTGAAGTGCTATCAGTTTTCCCATTCACTTTCCCTACAAGTGCTTATCATCGTTTTATGCGTCAGCCTGCTCACAGCCCCAATCCACATGGCTCGCATGGTGGCGCTTACCGTACTACTTAGTCTACAAGAGCCACTTGGGCCCAACCTGTGTGCATGCACTATGATCGGCCAGGCACAACGACCCCAGCGGCGAGCAAAGAGCGGTCCTTGCGGATGGCAGCAGGCAGATGCAGGTCAAAGAGGTCGCAGCGGATGGGCATCTCCACCTGGTGTGCATTGCGTGGCCGGGGGGGGGGGGGGGGGGAGGGGGGTCAGACACGTGTTCACACTGCATCAAATGCATGACACTACAACAAATGCATGGCACTACAACAAATGCATGGCACTACAACAAATGCATGGCACTACAACAAATGCATGGCACTACAACAAATGCATGGCTCTACAACAAATGCATGGCACTACAACAAATGCATGGCACTACAACAAATGCATGGCACTACAACAAATGCATGGCTCTACAACAAATGCATGGCACTACAACAAATGCATGGCACTACAACAAATGCATGGCACTACAACAAATGCATGGCACTACAACAAATGCATGGCACTACAACAAATGCATGGCTCTAGAACAAATGCATGGCACTACAACAAATGCATGGCACTACAACAAATGCATGGCACTACAACAAATGCATGGCACTACAACAAATGCATGGCACTACAACAAATGCATGGCACTACATCAAATGCATGGCACTACAACAAATGCATGGCACTACATCAAATGCATGGCACTACAACAAATGCATGGCTCTACAACAAATGCATGGCACTACAACAAATGCATGGCACTACAACAAATGCATGGCACTACAACAAATGCATGGCTCTACAACAAATGCATGGCACTACAACAAATGCATGGCACTACAACAAATGCATGGCACTACAACAAATGCATGGCACTACAACAAATGCATGGCACTACATCAAATGCATGGCACTACAACAAATGCATGGCACTACAACAAATGCATGGCACTACAACAAATGCATGGCACTACAACAAATGCATGGCACTACAACAAATGCATGGCACTACATCAAATGCATGAAACCACGTCTAATTGCAGTGTGGGAGGGTTTTTAAGCACATAGTCGGTGTAGAGGGGCACCTCATAGAAGAGGTTTTTTAGCACATAGTCGGTGTAGAGGGGCACCTCATAAAAGGGGTTTTTTAGCACATAGTCGGTGTAGAGGTCATAGATGATTGCGAGCAGCGTGGGCGCCCCCGTGAAGCCCACCTCCGTGGCTATGAAGAACTTGGTGCCTGCGGGCGGAGAGGGGGGAGAGTGGGGAGAGTGGGTTCAAAGGGAGGATATGTGGGGTGCGCGAGAAGGGTGCGCTGGTTGATTGGGGTGGCGGGGCAGCCATGCCCTGAGGAGGCTGACTGTGCAGCCTATGTTACTGTCGACGCCCAAACATGGTAACGTCCAGCAACCTTGGACGCTAGACGTTCACCAAAACTTTTTCAGGCTACCCGAAAATATAATCGGACTGCCCTAATATGCCCCAAGGGTACGTCGTCCATGAGGGGTCGGATGAGAGGAGGAGGAGGGGCAGGAGGAGGAGGAGGAGGAGGAGGAGGAGGAGGAGGAGGAGGAGGAGGAGGAGGAGGAGGAGGAGGAGGAGGAGGAGGAGGAGGAGGAGGAGGAGGAGGAGGAGGAGGAGGAGGAGGAGGAGGAGGAGGGAGGAGGAGGGAGCAGTGCTTCTGGACTGGATGAGTACGAGACATTGGACATATCCATGGTAACATGGCGTGGAGCTCAGTGAATTGCACGGTGTGGTCGGAAGATAAGGGGTGTCAGAGGGATGTGGGAAGGGAAGAGAGGGGGGCGTAGATCCATGAGGAATGGGACGGGGCAGTGTGGCAAGGAATGAGGCAGAGGGCAATAGAGAGTGGAGAGCTGGTGCTGCTCACAGTGGATTACCAGCCAATCTGAATGGCAACATTCCTGTGGGTGGAGTTGATGGGTGGGAGGGCACCTGTGAGCGTCTGGAAGCAGTGCAGGTCGAAGGTGCCCGCCTCCAGCATCTCGATGCCGCCACCGTTGGGGATGGGCGACAGCTGTTCACAGAGGGCCACGACAAGAGGGGGATCTCGCTTCAACAAGCTGTCGGTCTGCGCGACATCTGGGTGTCACATGCGGCCATGGCATCAAGGCATGGATGTAGGGATGTATGCATCACACAGCCGCTATCAGCCATTGACAGCGACGCAACTCACAGCCAGTCACAGGCGCTCACAGCTATGTTGGAAAAGTCGCCAGAAACCATAAGCGCACTCCGTATAGTCGTTTACGAATATACGTTGTACGCAAGTCGTACGTATATTCGTTGGCGAAAGTTCGGGCTGACCCGAAGAAAAACAAGATTTCAATAGTCGCGCACGAATTGCGAATGTTTGACGCGACTCAAAATGTACGCACGTCCCACCCCAATTTGTACGCACGTCCCAACCACATTGTCACCCACACCTGTCAAAATGTGGGGACGTGGGAAAATTTGAACCGCACTGCACCCTATGCTATCGCGCGACTCCAACACACAAACACGAATGTCGTCAACCAGCGTAGGTGGTTCAACCACATCCTGGACTATAAGGTAAGCTCTCATTCCCGTCATCTGTATCATCTCTCTCGTTCATTCTCTCTCAACACTCCAGCTCACCTGCACTTGATGTCGACTCCATCTGGTACTCCCGCAAGTGCCGCTAGTGAGGCTCCTAGTGTTTCGAATGACGCGACCATGGCGGACGACGAGGATGTTCCTGTGAACACCCATGTTATTTTTAAACATTTCCTTACCTCTACCGAAGGTACCTCGAATGGTCCTGAGCGTACTCTCCGCATATGCCGGCACTGCAAGCTTAAGTTCGTAGGGGGCGCCTTCCGTTGCGCGCAACACATCACGCGCTGGAAAGGGCTGAAACGGAAGGACGTCCGTCTTTGCAAGGCGCCTATCCCTTCTGCTGACCGCGGGGCCGTCCGCGAATTGTACAAAGGCAAACACGCCCGCAAGGAAGGGAAGAAGAAGGCGGAGGAGATGGCGATCGAGGCGTGTGCGAGTGGAGCGAAGAAGCAGTGCATCGAAGACTTCTACGGGGAAGGGGCGTCGTGTGCGAAGGAATCGGCAGACGACGCCATCTGCCTCATGTGGGCGGCACTTCACCTCCCGGAGCATCTCGCCGATCACCCTCTCTGGCGCAACGCTGTGCGCTGCATCACGGACGCGGGCCATGGCTACGTTCCCCCGAAGCGGCGGTATGTTGGTGGCGCCGGCCTTGCGCACTGCCGCGAAAAGATTGAGAGGGGGCTCGCTCCCATCACTGCAAGCTGGAAGCGGGATGGCGTGACGATAGGCTCGGACATGATGACGGACAAAAGTGGCCGTCCCCAAGCCAACATCCTGCTCATCAACGATTCCGGTGCAGTGTTCACCGAAAGCATCGACTGTAAGTTGGAGACGAAGACGGGAGGCTACATTGCATCCGTTTTGCGCCCGATCATTGAGAAGGTGGGGCCCGCCAACATAGTTGCGTTATGCATGGCTGGGGGCAGCAATTATGCGGCTGCATGTAGGGAACTCATGCTTCAGTATCCTCACATTGAGCATGTGCCGTGCGCTACTCACGTCATGGATCTGCTCATGGAGGACATTGGGAAAATGGATTGGGCGAAGGACATTGTGGCTAAGGCGGGGGTGATTATTTCCTTTGTGCGTGCCCACCATTTCACCAAAGGTTACATGCGAAGCCCGCAAGTGAAGGGAGGGAAGGGGAAGCAGGTGCTGAAGCCGGCGGGCACCAGATTTGGCACGCAATTCATCGCAGTGCAGCGGCTTTGCGAGGTGCGGAGTGCATTGACGCAGATGGTGCTGAGCCCGGAGTGGCAGGCTTGGGCGAAGGGGAGGAAGCCGCCAGTCGAGCCCTTCGAAGCCATGATCATGGATGCCGTGTGGTGGAAAGGGGCGGAGTTCTTCGTCGCCCTCCTGAAGATACCCTTTGTCGTCATGCGCAAGACCGACTCGACGGCCAAGGGCATGATGGGCAGGATGTACGATCTGATGCTGCAGCTCACGGAAGACATCAATGCGAAGCTGGAGGAGGAGGAGGCGGGATTGGTGCTGTCCAGCAGTGAACGCACGGAGGTGACCAACATCGTCCAAAAGCACTGGGACCATAGCATGGCGTGTGCCATGCACGTGGTTGGCCGGATCCTCAACCCGGTCAACGAAGAGGAAGGCATCTTCCGCACTGACCTGGAGTGTACTCGCGTCTTCAAAGCGTTTGTCGCTCGTCACTACGCAGGGCGGACCGTCACGCGCAAGGATGGCGAGGAGCTGCGCGCATCCCACGTCATCCAAGACGGCCTGACGGCATTCAACACCCTTCAGGGGAGCTTCGGCCTACCCGACGCCATCTCTAACCGTGAGCTCGTGAAGGCCGGTAAGAAGACGGCCGTCCAGTGGTGGACGTGGCACGGGACGGAGCACCCCGAGCTGACAACGCTCGCTTGCCGCGTTCTCTCTCAGCCAGTGTCCGCATCGGCGTGTGAGAGGAACTGGGCAGTGTGGGAATCGATCCACACTGCCAAGCGCAACAGCTTGGGGTCCGAGAAGTGTCGGGACCTCGTGTATGTTGCGCACAATTGGAACATTGTGCGCAACTGGCACAAGGGGGCTGAGTGGGTGACGGTTCTCCCGGGGAACATCCCTGAGGCCTCCCTGCCGGAAGGGTACAACGAGGTTCTGGAGGAGGATGAGGAGGAGGGGGAGGAGGATGAGCTGGAGGATGAGTACAAGTAGAGGAGGAAGGGACGGGGGGAGTAGAGGGTGGGAGTAGGGGGTGGGGTAGGAGAGATGCATGTTGCTTGTTTAGAGTAGTTGAGAATGGTGGGTTTTTTCAATATATGAAATTCGGTAAAACCACCACTCCCCCCCCCCCTCCTTCGGCGGTTTTTTTCGTCTGCCTGGTAAAAGCCTTTTGCTGCCCAGGCAGCGTACTTTCTGCGACTTTCAAAGTCACTCACGAAGCGCATAACGCACTATACGCAAGCGTATATGCGCTTGCGTATAATGCGCTGGGCGCGAATTTTCCAACATAGGCTCACAAGCGCTCAAAGCCGCTCACAGCCACTCAAAGCTGCTCACAGCCACGGGCAGTGTGTGGTGACCTGCATGGCGATGGCGTGCAGCCCGTGCCACGTGGACGCCAGGCGCAGCGAGTCGTTCGTGTCCAGCCGGTTCAACGACCCAAAGTCCTGCGCGCGCCAGGGGGGGAGGGGGGGAGAGTGGTGAGGAGATGGGGGACAGCAGGGATGGGGAGGTGCGGGCTTGGGGGAAGGCAGAAGGGGGAAAGCGGATGGAGGAAAACGCGTTGGGAGATTGACACTTTGAGTGAGTTCAAGAGACGGTTGCCGTGCTGCTCCAAGGTTTGGATTTCTGACGTTGGGGGCCATTGCAGGGGCGGGGGCGGTGCGGAGTTGGAGAAAAGGATTTTGGGGGGAAGGGGGGTTGGAAAGGTGGTTGGGGGGAAAAGGGAGTTGAGGGAAGGGGAGAGGAAGGGAGAGAAGGGGTTGCACAGCAAGGAACAGACTAGGAGAGTCGTTGGTGGTCTGCTGCAGCTGTGGTGGAGAAGGGAAGAAGGGGGGGGATTTGGGAGTGGGTGAGAAAGAGGGGAGGGGATGGAGGAGGCGTAGGTGGGAAGTGCGAAGGCGTTTGACGAGTGGGACAGGAGGGTGAGCAACGTGCGAGTGGGACAGGAGGGTGAGCAACGTGCGAGTGGGACAGGAGGGTGAGCAACGTGCGAGTGGGACAGGAGGGTGAGCAACGTGCGAGTGGGACAGGAGGGTGAGCAACGTGCGAGTGGGACAGGAGGGTGAGCAACGTGCGAGTGGGACAGGAGGGTGAGCAACGTGCGAGTGGGACAGGAGGGTGAGCAACGTGCGAGTGGGACAGGAGGGTGAGCAACGTGCGAGTGGGACAGGAGGGTGAGCGACGTGCGCGATGTCGAACATTCACAGCAACCTCTGGCGTGGAGCGGCGACGCGCCGAGCACACATTCTTGCAGCGGGACGAGGAGGTGGAATGATGGAATGCGTCATGGAGGAGGAGGATGAATGATGGAATGCGTCATGGAGGAGGAGGAGGAATGATAAAGTGCGTCATGGAGGAGCGAGACGAGTGCTGTGGACGCCGCCATCATGCTCTTAGCAGCGGCACGGAATGCTCTTAGCAGCGGCACGGAATCCGTGCGTGCTGAGTGGGCGGCAGCACGCGGGAGGGACGCACCTTGTAGTAGATGAGTCCGCCCGACTTGTTGATGATGAACAGGTTGAACACCGGAGGCGCGCCCGCCGCCATGCTGCTCGCGACGCTCGCGATGACGACGGCGACGGCGCCGCCCACTGCCGCCCACCGGACGAGATCTGTATGGATGTGGGATCGCAAAAGACTCGCTCCGCCTCCTGCTGGACCTCCGGCTTGTTAGGCTGCTGTGCCGCTACCGTTGTGCCTACCTAATATCTGGACGTAGCGCCGGTGGTACGAGAAGGCGTCCAAAAAGGGATGTTCACCTATCTCGTAAATGCTACAGCTGAAACGACCAGCCTAAGCGCGAACGGCAAGGAGAACCTTTTTGGGTGTTACACACACCGCAGCTCAAGGGCCTGAAAGCTGAGAAGCGTGAGACGAAGAAAAACCGATTTGGATTAGGGTTGCGTTGTGAGCAATGTGGGAATTAGTTGATAGCCTGTAATGTCCAACCAACGCAGGCCTGTTCCGGGGGCATTACAGTAGATGGGTCAGTCTCCGTTCCGATCCGAGTCGCGTCGCTTATTGGCGGGACAGCCAAAGCCCGAGAGGGGAAGGAGTAGATTGTGCGGGCGAAAAGTGCAAGGAAAATTGACTCTGAAACTGGGTTTCCACACCAAGCAATCGAGCAGCTATAGTCATCTATCGCTGACAACAGCTGCGGAATCGTGAATATTGCAGCCCGAGCAGATCAGGCTAGTGGGTGAAAGGTGGAGCGAATTTTGACGAAAGACTTCCACCCTAAATTCAGTCAGCATCATGAGGCCCGCAGTTAGGGCGGGTCATAATTGTCACTAGTGAGGTCAGATTGGGCCGCTAGAACCTTTTTTCATAGGGTAACTCCGGTTGCTGAACCGGATGACGACAGATCGCCGCTCAGGGATGCAAAAACGTGCGTCATAACAGTAGTAACTGTAAGTTTCTGTTCAGATTTCACACCGCCGCGGACGAGCCCGCCGTACCCTCGGCAACCGACTGAGCTGGATTCTGCGAAATTTATTTACATCGCACATCTCTCGCCCATCGCCACGAACGCCAGCTTCAGCCAGTCTCGCCTGTGATGTTCAGAGCGGAGCGGAGCGGAGGGTGTGCAGAGCAGACGAGTACTGCGATTTCCACTGGTCCCAGCATTCCTGGTTACCCTTCACGAAAGGTGCATTCGCATAGAACCCTGTCCATTATGCTCGTTTCGTTTCTTTAGGAGGGTTTCGTTTCTTTAGGAGGGTTTCGTTGCACCAAGTGAACACATACCATGAAATTGCCCGATCTGGTGTTTGTTATCCGAACAGAGGTCGGCTTTTGTAATTCTGTCATTTCTCCAAATTGTGATGAGTATGACCCACCCTTAGAGGCACCACGTCCTAACCTAGAAGATGCTGAACGTGCAACTTTCCACTCTGCACACGCATTCCTTTACTTACATATCGGGGGATGCCTCACTCCTGTCGTCCTCTACGTGTTTCGAGTTTGGAGTAAGCTACTCGGGTAGGCAAGCTAATCGCGTGCTGACGGCTTGTATTTCTGAGACACCCGACTTTTTTCCCCTTAAATCTATCTCTGCACGCTAACAACCTCACTTGCTGCAATTACCGCAAGCCCAGCCGTCGTTCGCAACACGGCAACTCGTTCACGTTCGCTTCCGGGATAATCCGATGGATGACGCCAGCGGTGACGCAGACAGTCCTCCGGACAGCCCGCCCTTCCGCCCGCCGCCCTCCGCCGCCGCGTTGGCGGACGATGACGACGAGGGGGAAACGCTGCTGGGGGTGCGCGCCGCCTTCCCCGCGTCGTTCGGCCGCCAGGAGGAGCGCGTCACGCCGCTCGAGGCCGTGCACGCGCAGACGGCGCGCGCACACGCGGAGCGCGCCGGGGGGAAGGGGAAGAAGAAGGCTGGGGGGATGAAGTTCAGCATCGGGCCGAGCCTAGCGAAGAGGTTAGGCGACGGGGCCAAGGCAGGGCTGGCTGGAGCAGCGGCGGTAGGAGCGGCGGGCGCTGGAGCTGTGGCGGAGAGGGGAGGTGCAGGCGGAGGAGCAGAGCGGGTGGGCGGAGATGAAGCTGCGGGGGGGAGCTTGCGGGAGACGAATGGTGGTAGTGCCGCAAGTGGCTGCGCTGGTGGGGCAAGCAGGGACAGGGATGGGGCAAGAGCAGTGAGGGATGGAGGAGCAACAGATGGGCGAGGAGCAGCGGTGGTGCAGGGCCAGGGCCAGGGCCAGGGCCAGGGCGAGGGGCATGCAGTGATCGGCCCTCCGCGGCCGCCGGGCCGCTTGGAGGACGGAGTTGGCGGACTGATTGGGCCGCCTGCCCCTGCTGCTCGCAGCACACAGCAGCCCGGTGGGCGGAAGAAGAGCCGCTCGACAGCGCGGCAGGATAGGGCGCACGGTGGGCAGAGGAGCGATGGGAGTGATGTGGATGAGGATGAGGAGGAGGAGGAAGCAATGGCGGAGGACGAGGAGGAGGACGAGTTTGGAGTGCCGCTGAGCAATGAGATTGTGCTGGGGGGACACACCAAGGTGAGATGATGACTGTAGCAGTGCTCCTATCTTTAGCAGCTTGTCATGATGACTGTAGCAGTGCTCGCTATCTGTAGCAGCTTGTCTTGTCACCACTGCTTCAGTGACACATGGCAAGCCGCTGCGTCCCTCGCCTGCTCACCAGCCCCATTCATGTGTTGCGGACTCACCTTCTCACCACCTCCCTCCTCATCACCACCTTGCTCCTCACCCCCCCACCGCGTGGCAGGCAGTGGCGGCGCTGGCGGTGGACCCAACGGGCACGAGGGTGATCAGTGGCAGCTACGACTACTCGCTGCGCTTGTACGACTTCCACGGCATGGACTCGCGCCTCAAGGCATTCCGGGAGCTCCTGCCGTTCGACGGACACCAAGTGCGCGCCGTCTCCTTCAGCCCCTCCGCTGACCTCTTCATCACCGCCACCGGCAACGCCCAGGCCAAGGTGCGCCCAGGCCAAGGTGCGCCACTCCTCCTCACCTCCCCTCTTCCATACTTCATAACGCTGTTTATCCTTCCCCCTGACCTAAGTTGCCAAATACGCTATACGCTGAAGGGGTTGAGCGTATTTGGCAACTTAGGGCCCTGACCAAGGCGAGTAGGATATTGTGCTCCTTTTGTCAAACCCTCTTCTCGCGCATGTTGTCCCACCCATCCACCACACACAACACAAGCCTGCTTCTGACCAAACCACGATTGAGGCTGCACACACCATCTCGCCCAGCCTCTCTCTTCTCTTCACCACCTCCCTGCTCCCCTCCCGCTCCCTTTCTCCCTCTCCCCTCGCCCTGCAATGATGCGGTGTGGTGCGGTGGTGCGGGCAGGTGTACGACAGGGACGGGCGCAGCAAGGGCGAGATGGTGCGGGGCGACATGTACATCCGCGACCTGCGCAACACCAAGGGGCACATCGCCGGGCTCACCACCGCGCAGTGGCACCCCTGCGAGCGCCACACCGCGCTCACCGCGTCCGAGGACGGGTCGCTGC